TCTCTCTCTCTCTCTCTCTCTCTCTCTCTCTCTCTCTCTCTCTCTCTCTCTCTCTCTCTCTCTCTCTCTATAGGCTGTCAATTTATTTCTTCTGATCATGTCCCTCTTCTCCTTAACTCTGATGGTTTTTTGTCTAGACCGTCCCCGTTTAGATTTGAATTGGCGTGGCTATCAGATAGATCTTTACTCAGCCTGATTGAAGATTTCTGGAAAAATACTACCATTAATGGTTGAAAAGGTTTCCAAATTTCAAAGAACCTCCAACTATTGAACTAAGGATTATTACATAGAAGATGAATGTTTGAAAAGATTTACAATCTACAATTGGGACAGCAAAGTCTCATATGGAGGAGCTAGATAATGTTCAGTTTATAGAAGGTCCTCTAACACATGATCAATTCAGAGACAGAAGCTTATGGGTGGTTACGTATAAACAATTGCTTAATTTGGAGGAAATTCATTGAAGACAAAGATCTCGTGTGAAATGGCTCAAGAAGGGAGATAAAAACACGAGATTCTTCCATGCTATATTGCTAATACAAGGAAAAGGGGTAACTCAATTCAAAACCTCTGTATTGAAGGAATAGACTGTGACAACATGTCAGAGGTTGAAAGGGGGTCGGTTGATCATTTCAAAAAATCTTATGAGGCATCGTGGGATGCAACTATCCATTCAAGATCTACCTTTTACTAGGTTGCCGTTAGAACAAGCTCAGTGGTTGAAGAGAAAATTTGAAAAGCAAGAAATCAGAGATGCAGTCTTTGGCCCCGGCAAGATAAGGCTCCTTGACTAAATGGATACCCAATGGCTATGTTCAATCTTTTTGGGATATTTTGAAAGATGATATTGTTTAATTATTTGAAGAATTTTATTGGAGATGTTAAATTAATATTGCCATGAATTCCACTTTTATTGCTTTAATTCCAAAAAAAAATGTCATTGTGGAGATCAAAGATATTCAGCCTATTAGTCTTATTGGTAGTCTATATAAAATCATAGCAAAAATTTTAGCCAATAGACTGCGACCAGATGATTCACATGGTTAAAGGACCACAATCAACATTCTTGAATGATAGGCAAATTATGGATAGTGTTTTGGTTGC